AAAAAGTGTTGGATATATATTTTTAGTTATTAAATCAGAAATTTCAGATATTACTGTTAATACTATTATGGAGCCATGTGATGTTGTATATTTTGAGAACACTTTTCCATTGAGAGATCAAATTCCAAAGCAAATTAGTGAAAATGCCATTGGGAAGCTATTAGCAAACAATCAAGATAATAAAGAACCTAGGAGGAGTAAGAGAAGAAGAGTTGAAAAGAATTTTGGTGAAGATTTTTACACTTTTATAGTACAAGAAGATCCTAAGACATATAATGAAGCAATGACATCTATTGATGCACCTTTTTGGAGAGAAGCAATAGATAGTGAAATGAATTCTATTATGTGTAATAGGACTTGGGTGTTAACAGATTTGCCTCATAGTAGTAGACCAATAGGTTGTAAATGGATATTTAGGAAAAAGTTGAGAACGGATGGATCTATAGAAAAATTCAAAGCAAGATTGGTTGCTAAAGGGTTTAATCAAAAGGAAGGAATTGACTTTTTTGATACCTATTCTCCTGTAACAAGAATAACAACCATAAGAGTTTTAATGGTCATTGCTTCAATCTATAACTCCGAAATTCATCAAATGGACGTTAAAACTGCATTTTTGAATGGTGATCTAGACGGGGGAGATTTATATGGAGCAACCTGAAGGATTTGTAGTACCAAGTCAAGAAAATAAAGTGTGCAAGTTGGTCAAATCTCTTTACAGTTTAAAACAAACTCCTAAAAAATGGCATGAAAAATTCGATAAAATAATACTCTCAAATGGTTTCGTTATAAATGATTCGGATAAATGTCTTCATTATAAAATAACTGAGAATGGATGTGTAATACTTTGTATCTATGTGGATGACATTTTGTTTTGTGTTCCAATGAATATGTGATTTGTGAAACTAAAAATATGCTTTCAAATAATTTTGATATGAAGGACTTGGGCCTTGCTGATGTTATATTGGGAATAAAATTAATAAGAAATAAAGATAAGATTATTTTAACCCAATCTCATTATGTTAAAAAATTATTGAAAAAAATTAATTATTTTGAGTATAAATTAGTGAGCACATCATATGATCCACATGTACACCTAAAGAAAAATTTAGGTGAAAGTGTATCACAACAAAAATATTCACAGATTATTGGATCATTAATGTATTTAATCAATTGCACAAGGCCTAATATTGCTTATGTCATCAATAGGCTAAGTAGATATACTTCTAATCCCAATCAAGAACATTGGAAAGCAATTGAAAGAGTATTTCGATATTTAAAAGGTACCTTAAATTATGGTCTTCATTTTCCAAGGTACCCAGCAGTATTGGAAGGATTCAATGATGCTAATTGGATCTCGGATTTGAATGAAACTAAAGCTACTAGTGGCTATGTTTTTATGTTTGGTGGTGGAGTTGTGGCTTGAAAGTCAACAAAGCAGACTATTATATCTCTATCAACAATGGAAGCAAAATTTATTTCATTAGATTCAGCTGCAACAGAAGTTGAATGGCTCAAGTGTCTATTGTCAGATATACCCCTTGGCAATAAGCCTATTCCAGCAATTTCTTTACATTGTGACAATCAAGCTACAATTTCCAAGGCGAAGAATTCCAATTACAACGAAAAAAGGAGGCATATACAGATCCGTCATAATTCTATCAAATAGTTACTTACTCAAGGAGTAATTGCACTTGACTTTGTGAGGTCCGAAAATAATTTGGCGGACCNATGGTCAGTAGGCTGGGCTATTGTATCCTGGGGACAACACGCTACTACCTTCTGCGCTGTGATTATTTCATAAAGGGGCGTGAATCATCTTAAGAGAGCGACTTAGTCCGCGCCTCACCCTNACGGTCAGTAGGCTGGGCTATTGTATCCTGGGGACAACACGCTACTACCTTCTATGTTGTGATTCTTTCATAAAGGGGCGTGAATCATCTTAAGAGAGCGACTTAGTCCGCGCCTCACCCTGTCGTTCATTTTATTTGTATCCAATTTTTCCAACAGTTCGTTATAGAGAGGTTCACGTCTACACCGTATCTCTTTTTAGGATAGCGTTCATCTAACGCCTCAATCCAGGCTATTCTAAACTTATTTTTGATCTAAGTTCCATTGAGTTTATTTGATATATTTGCATGTTTATTTAATTTATGAATCTATGATTTTATTGATTTATTTTTCTAACAATCTAAGAAGAGATATAATTAAATTTAGAATAACGTAGGAAAACTTGTTTTTTTATCCATTTCTCTTGTTTGAAATATGAGCACTATTGAATCTAATTCTTGTAAACCTGAGAAGTTCAACGGTCAACACTTTAAAAAATGGCAACAACAAATAAAATTTTGGTTGACTATTTTGGATTTAATTTCTGTGCTTGAAAAATCTTCTCAACCTGAGGAAAATAGACATACCCAAGTCCAGACTAATGAAACAACTACTGTTGATGGAACTAGCACAAGTTTAGTCCCTAAAAAGTCAACAAAATCAGCTTATGATGTAGAAAAAGACTACCTGTGTCATGGCAGAATTCTTAGTGCACTTGTTGAACCTATCAATGATATTTTTTGCACTACTAAATCAACACTTGAACTTTGGAAACTTTAGATAAAAAATATGGTACTGAAGATGCTGGACAAGAGAGGTACTACACTGAAAAATTCTTTGATTTTCAAATGATAGATGAAAAATCTATGATGGATCAAGTCCATGAGTTTCAAAACAGAGTCCATGAATTANGGTAGGATTCTGTAGGGTGTTGGTCACAGAACATCCTTGGAGGGTTCACCTATATGTGTATTTGTAGTGAGGCCGCTACAATGGGATGTAGGCTAATCCCAAATGAAACACTCATGAAAATCAAGATACTCGCGCATGGTCGTAAGAGCGCAAAACTGATTAGAACTTGATCTAATACCCATATCATGTGTGTGACGAGTAGAAACCTGAATTAAAGAGCTTAGTTCAAGATTTGTTCACTATGGTTCTTCAGATGGAAGCTCACTAACGCTAAGTGAAGGTTCAAGTCTGGAAGACACCTATCACCTACTGCATGGTATTGTTGCCCAATTTATTTTTATTTAATTTTAAATCATGTGGGGGATTGTTAGTATATATGATTTAAAATTAAATTTTATTATCATTTATTCATATTAATAATTTCAGCCCCACATTTATTTTATGATTATGATTTTAAATGATTTAATTTTTGATTGTTGAAATTCTTTAGGGGGAGTTATACGTAATACTATATATATATATATATATATATATATATATATATT